TGATAGAATGCACTGCTTACATAAGGTTCAATATGTATATGAGGATTTTGAAGAAGGCTCCGGACAAGACGCATCAAAGCAAATAGCAGAGGGAAATTATTCAAATTCCGTGTAACCTGAGACAATTGCAGGAAAAAGTCACTTACAATGCATAACAAAAAGCAATCAGTCCCAATTTAAGATATCACCAGAATCACTACCTCATCAGCAACAAAGCATGTGAAGTATGGAACCAACGCATGGAGTCCGGAATCTGTTGCCAAGCTCACTAATGCTTCTTTGAAGAGGGTGGAACTAGACCTGCGAGTAAGCTCTGTAATCTTCTCAAAGTAAAGCTGCAGAGGCAACCACAGGGAAATTGGCATTAGATATTATTTTACGTGAAGTGCACAAAGAACAAGGAAAAAGAAAATACCTGAAGTTCCCTTGACAATACATGCTTAACAGGCAATTTAATCTCTACAGGAAGTCCATCTTCCTTGTATTCAGATTTTTTGACATCAGAGTACGCTGCAAGTGCTACAAAGCAAAGCATTATGGCAATCCAAATTAGTATTGATGGTAAAGTTAACTTTCAAATAAAATTGGTCATACTTCGGAAAACAGAACAATGATTAAGCAAATTATTAGAAATGAAATATATCATCATTAATCAGAGCAGAACGTGATTAAATAAGGGGTTTACATAGTGGATATGCAAATTATAATTCAAAATATGATGCCTGCCTCGGCATGGTAGACTAGGAGAAAAACCTTGGTAAAGACTAGATACCTAAATTAGCCAAGAAAATCTTGTATATAAGTTCAGCAGCTACCTTCAACAGAAGCATTTTCTGGAATTGCAGGTTGAACACCTTCAATTGCCAGCCAGTGAGCAGTAATTGATACATCAAGTGGTGCCCTTGGTAAAGGTGCTTCAATGACCTATAATATCACGCAATATATAAGAAGAAAGTAATTGATATATTTCGCATAGAAAACCTATATTTCAAGTCATCAACAAGCACTTACATCTTTAAATTCCACATCCTTGTCATCAATGTAGAACAAATCCTTATGTCCAGCAGCTCTCTTGAATCTCAAAGGATCTCCAGAGGCAAACCCATATATTGGCTATTGCATGTAGAAGACATACAAATTTTTATCTTTGTTTATTGAGAAGGTGAACATGAGTTAAACAAATAAAATCAGAAACTAAAAGCAATGGACAACCTTTTCAAACTTAAGGGCCGTTTGATAACCATTCCGCTTTCAGTTCTTGGTTTTCACTTTTTTAAAACTTAAAACTGAAATCTTGTTTGGTAACTATTTTCTGTTTTTTTTTTAAAAAATGGAAACTAAAAACCATACACTGAAAACTCAAGAAAGTAGTGATCAGTTTTTTTTTTTTTTTTTTTTTGTGAAAACAAAAATTGAAAACTGACTACCTAAAAAGAGTTCAGTTTTCAAAAAAGTGAAAACAAAAGGTAAAAATGAAATGGTTATCAAACTGCCCCTTAGAAATCCCTATTTTTCAGCACAGTATCCACACACATGGGACAAACATGATACACTTTAAGACGCTCAAAGACACACAAACCCCTAACAAACCAAAAAAGGAGGAGGAAGAGGAGGGGTTTTTTTTTTTTTTTTGGTGTGGGTGGGGAGGGAATGTTGGCTTAGACATGTGGAGCACCATTCTATCCATCAGTTAATAGATCCTACCACACTATATCAGACTGCATAACATATCCGCTCCCTCAAAATTTATTATAATTTCATTTTCTGAGAAAATGATCCCACATCTCTTTCTATATACATATAAGAACAGTGCGTACCAAGGTGTGAAGTGGGAGAGAAGGTATTTCATAATTGGATTAAGGTTTTGAATAACTCATGCAGCACGTCCTTGAACAATACTCAAGGCTTTGGGCTGAGTAGTCACAAAGAGAAACAAATGGGACCTATCACAGGAATGTCACAAAATGCCCCGTTCTTGGGAACCAAATAGAAATGGGACCTATCGGGTCTATCTTGTAGAGGTGCTCAAATTGCATTCTCATATCAAGGCTAGGAAGCAAATAAAATGGTTTAGGGGCTTTCCTGCACAGCGTAGATAGAAGGCGAAGAAGTCCCCTTTCCAGGAGATTGTCCCAAGATTTCATTCCTATTAGAGTATTGAATACTTTTATCCTTCTAAGAATCTTTTCCCATCTCCTTTATCTTACGAGTCCAGGAAGCATTTTTCTGTTTAGGGTTCAGACTTAATTCCATTTTTCTGTTCAATAGAGTTCAGACTTAATTCCATAAAAGATCCCCAAGGTCTTACCATAAAGATTATAAGTTCTAACGTGTATACTACAATGTATTAATCATACAACAAAAAGATGCTCCAAGCATTTAACTAAACGTTAACAAAGTTCCAAAAAGACAAAAAAAAGAAAAAAAAAAAAAAAGCAAGCAAACTAACAGAAAGAAAACTGAGACAATTTATAAAGCATTTAGAATGAAAGGAAGCAATCTTTACTCTCCAAGATAAAGAAAACCACAAAATTAAAACACCTCCTCAAAGGAACTCATATCTGAAAATAAATTATGGCTTACGTCCACGTTTCTTAATTTAAGTGCACTATCCACATCATCTGTAGTCAGAATAGTCCGTCTCGAATGCCGCATGCATTTAATTGCCTCCTGCAATTATAAAATGACAAGCATTTGTTTCCTCACTGGCATAAATGGAACGCATAGACCACATAATGAACTCAAACCTATTATTTGCTTAACTGAACGATAATCTACCTTAAAGAAGAAAACAAGAAGTTGCTTCTCGGCTTGAACTTTTCCCTTGACTCTTATTTACAGATTAAATTTTCCCTTAACTCTTATTTACCGATAAGAAAACCAAACATTTAAGGGATATTTTGTAAAATAATATTTTTGAGTTACAATTGGCAATGAAGGATAAGAATTTACACTTCAACACTCTCGGATATGTCCAATTCATACATCCAAATGCAACAAGTAAATTAAAGCTAGTTCTTTCATTTTTGTGAAAACCAAATGTTGAACCAATCTACAACCACACAAATGCCAAATTATACTGAATAAAATTGAGCACAAACCTACTGTAACAGCATTAACAAAGCAAATACCTGCATGATCTCTCGGACCCGGTACTCAACATCCGGGGTAAGAGCAAGAGCGACATCGGGGGACAAATTGGTAATGCCAATGCTCTGTGCTACAACTTCTATCGCTTCTTTCGGCACATTACTCATCTTTATTTGATTTGACAATTTTTTTTCGCTTAATTCTTACATAAACCCTCTTGCATCAATGGCCAACGCCACTGGTTCTGTAAAGCAATTAGAAAATTAACAAGAAAAACCCTAATTCGCAAAGGAATTGGCCAATTGGGTATGAAATTTTGTAGCAAATTTTGCAGGGAAACGAGATTAAGCAGAAAGAAAGTCCCAAAATTTGCATATGTGGAGCAATATAGGTATATACATATATTATACATGCAATTTAAGCTGTGCAGAGAAAGAGTGTTTTGAGAAGAAGAAATTTACCTGAAAATCGCACGGAATCGGACTTTAGGTTTGACTGTAATGGTGGACGACGCGTACCGGTGATGAAGTCAGAGAGCCATGGCTGTCAGTTCAAAAGGAAAGAAAGAGGTTGCTTACTGCGCTTTGTGCCATCTACCTACAAATCAACATGGCCCAAACCGCAAATGTTCGGCCTACGAGGCCTATAGTTTGTCTTCATTGTAAAGCTATCTCTAATTGAAAAGGCTAGATATAACTTCATCTAGAATTATAATTCTGTAAAAATTTATTTTTAAATAAACAGGGTCAGACCATATTCATATATCATCTCCAACCAAAAGGCTAAACACAGCATCCCCTATAATTTATTAGTTTTAACTTAATATTTTAAATTTATTGATTAATTTAATTAAACTACCGTTGCAGACTTTCAAATCTAGTTATTGAGTTTGAATCAATTATTGAAAGTTAGGTCCAATAAAAGGGGTTAAAAAAAGGGCTACATTTGATTTGCCTAATAGCCCTTTGCCCAAATAATAATTTTGTGGGCTTTATAGAATTATACTCTAGTCATCAATTGGAGATGAGTTTTTTGACGAATCAGAGTATTTTTTGGCTTTTAGACCTTTAGCCCTCTCCATTAGAGATGGCCCAAGGTATTCGAATTTGAGACATTTTTTCAAGACTGGAAAAATATGTATCCTTGAACTACATAAAAGGGATAAATGTTACTAATAGAACAGTCTAGTAATATTGTTGACTACTTGTGAGAGTTAGGACGGCGAATTCGACTCCAGTAACCCAGGGAAAAATGCCATACCCACTTGGTCAATTCCTTAGCTACTTCTTGCCTCTCATGAACAAAAGCCAGTAGCTTGCAACTCAAGCCCTTGAGAGCATTGATCATTGCTCATGCGGTCATGTTTTTCGATTCATTAATCTTCCAACGTTAACGTTAAATCACCAGATATGAACCGTTGTATAAAAAACAAACAAATATGTGATGAAAGTGTATAGATTTGTGTGGAGTTCATTCCCATTACCGTTTGATGTGAAATTTTTTCAAGGGGTTAGTGTTCGACGTTTTTTTGAGTACATCGACATTTTTACATTAAGGGAACGAGAGTTCAACTAAGACACGCAATAAGCAGTTTAATTTGGTATCAAATTCGTCATCCATGAGATTCGAACCTAAGACCTCTCACTTCTAAGCGAAGAGAAATACCACCAGACCTCTCACAACGTATTGAGCTCAAGTCTATTTTAATTGATCACAATCTATCTCATCCAACCCATCAAACGGAGCCTAAAAGAAGAACATCCAATGGCAAAGGAGTTTTATAAAACTGCTGCTCTTACGAATGACTGATTGTTTTGAGTTGATGTCAAAGTCTTTCAAAACATGCTTCCAAATTCATTCATGCATATTAACCGATAGGAACGATGTATCAAACAATGAAAAACAGAAACTATTCAAATATGGTACTAATACGTGCCAATAAATAAAATTTACAATTATTTCAACAACACACAAATTCACAAACCCAAAAAACCAAGAAAGCCGAATACATCATCACAACGAAGACAGCAATCCACATCGAACACACACAAACTGGAAATCATGAGACTCGGTATAGACTTATAGTTGGCATGATTACAAGTATTTGATCAGCAAAAAAATCACAGCAATCAGAACTACTATCCCGACGACAGATAAAAGCAATGCACATGCAAGAGCAACCACCCTTTGTCCGCTTGTTCAAAACTGCCAAGTTCTTCTGCACCCGCTGTTTTGGCAATAACGGGTAGACAAAATATTATGTGATTAATATTTGCTCACGTTAAACTAGTGCAATTCTTAAGGAAAGAAAGCAAAGAAATCAAAACAATCAACTTCAGCGACAGTCCTTGGCATGATATAATACCCCCACAGAGACTATAACACGCTCTAAAAGCTTCATCACCAAACCTCAAATCAAATCTGGAATCTAATTCATATGATTCTAGTTCGTCTACAAGCCTTTTTTTCACTGTAAGACACCACCCAAAGTCTTTGAGTAGGATATTTTTTGAGAAGTTGCCTACCAAACACGGTTCTTTGAATTTTAAAAAGTTAAATCAAAACTTAAATTTTTTTTTTTTTTTATAAAATCAAATTTTGTAGTCCAATTCTTAAGTAGGATACCAAATGGGGCCTAAGCTATTCCTCACGATCCGAGCCAAAACCCTCAGTTTGGAGTTACATATGTAAAAGCATGAACCAGTGGCTGTCCAAAAGATGAAAAAAGAATAAAGAATTTTATCACTTAAATCCCATCACTTTCCTTCAGTCTCTCTAGCAATTCCTAACATCTTTAACGTAACATAATTTCTTCACTTGACAGCATCTAATATTTCCTCCTATTGGGCTTACTTTTAGTAATAATTTTTTCCTAAGAAATACCAAGCAAAGAATTAACTACAGCCCACACTAATCAAAATGCATTTTATGAACGACAAGATGCTCTAAAAAAATTTCCACCAGGGACACATCTTTGCTTGTCAAGGTACACAATAGTCTTTTTTTCACTGTTGATTTTCTTTGTTTCCGAGAATTAAAACAGGTGGGAAGAAAAGACGTGTGCAACAGTCATTTGCTAAACAAGGGTCCACAATAATTTAAAATACGAGTTAGATGATTACCCGTAGCCGAGAGTCCGTAACTTCCACATGATCATCCAAGTCATCCTGCACAATGGGCCAGAAAGAATAAGTAATACTGAGAGTACAAATACATTTTAGATAAATAAGTAATTACTGATGGAAGATTCAAAAGCACAAGTACTAGAACGCAAGGACATACAATAAGTCTAGTGTGTAGGTCAAGTTCTTCATTGACTGCCAATGCAATATGTTTTGTGCTTATTACAGTCTCCTCCAATTTCTCAAGCCCCTCATCTTGCTCTGCTTCATAGGAACATCATGTAAAGATCAATATTGTGAAAATCAAACCATGTGCAAATATTACAGAACAACAAATAGTTAGATCTGGATAAGCAGCTTACCTTTCATAATTTGTCTTTGCAAACCAACAAGGCCGTAGTTGTCTAGTCCAACTGTTCTTCCCATGGCATCAGTTTTATTTATTTCTGACCCCAGCAAGCTATCTCGGTTGGAAGAGTTGGACGTCAATGTTGAAGCCATCTGCTTCACTTTCGATCGTAAATTTCCTATCATATCCTTTCGACGATTCATCTCTTTCTCTGATCTGAGTTTCAAAAATGGCAGCATAAATAATGTCATACAATGATAGCCAGAAGTATCTTTAACATTATGATGGACTATCTTACAATAACTATGTTTGATTTTGATCAAAAGTTTCATGTGCTTTTATCACAAAAGGTGATCACATGAAATACATACTCAAAGAACTCATAACTTGGGAATAAACACCGTCACATGCTACATTGACCAATAGAAACCGGAAATGAAAGAAGAGCATACAACATTGTTCAATTCCTATATTTGTTCCAATAGCAGTTTGGTGTATGCATTAAAACAAGTCAACTATGATGACTTACATGTGCTGTTTTCCAGGGAGTTTTGACAGAAGGGACTGTAAGCTATCAAGTCTAGTCCCCAATATTGTAATCTTCCGCCGTATAGCAGAGACATGACGCTGGGTGTCAGGACCTGCAGGCAATGTACTCAGTTCGGATATCATACCACTGATATCATCAGCAAGTTTTGTTGCTTCATTATATTCCTTTATCCATGAGTCCGAAGAAGATGCCATTGTACTGAAATAAAAAGGGCAAATTATCTCATCAATAACATACTCAGGGATGGCTTTTGTACAAATGAACTCAATATCTTTAAACATATTTAGGCCTTGCATAGATTTATAAAAATCAGATGACAAGTAAAATACAAGGTTAACCGTGGGCAGGAGATTATATTTAGAATAGCACTGCGTAAGGATATTTCATCTTTCTGGTTAGCAGAATTTTTAGTTTTCCCCAAGAACTTTACCAACGCACCATATCTTTGACCTTAAGCTGAAAAGACAGGATTTATTTGGTACGAGTAACACAGCATGAGCAGTACTTGTTTGGTTGATAAGCACTTAAGAAACAATAATAAATTCGCATCAAAATCAACAGTTCCCTCTCCTCTATGTAATCCTGCAGCTAATTTCCCATTAATTTAAACCTATCAATACCAAAGCATTGTCACCTAGCTATAAATTCTGTCCAAACTACTAATTGCTTTTTGGCACAATAAAAGTGCTGTGTTGACCGAGTGCAAACCAAGAAACTTCTCAGAAATGCATATCCAGCTGAACACAGTTACACCACCATCTTTTGGAGCATAAACTTCCACATATAAGATCTCTATATATTTAGTCCAATCTTACCGACTCTAAAAACTACTATATCCACGACGAACCCAAAACATTAACATACATCAGGAACATTGCCTACTTCCAAAATGGTAACAATTACACTTTCTACCAGAATTTGATCAAAAATCTACAGCACCATATAAAGGACCTCTAGCTTAGAAAAATTGAAGGAAACCAGCGAACAAGTACATTGCATCAACTCATCACAAAAATCCTGCTTGTCTCGTTTACTGTGGAATGCAGCGACACGGGCCATAACTAAGCTCTTCATATGCCTAATTCTAAGTAAGTTGAGTGGACTACGTGAACATTCTTCCACCAATTCTTCTAATCGATAGCGCTCAAGTCTCAACCGAGAGCAACAAAAGTAAAAAGAAAATTCTCAAAGCAAAAAGATGCAATCGAGTGCTTTGAAGCAACAAATCCACAATTCAAGCTGGGTAAAACAATTTGAAACAATTCAAGTAAATATTCAATCAAAGCAACTGATGCCCAGATAAAATCGATGCAAATTCAAAACTTGAAACAAATTAAGAACTAATTAAACAACGTGCACAAACCTAAACGATCCCACGTAACCCATAATTCGCCAAAAAAAATGCTGATCGACCCAAAATTGTAATCGAAATTGTCAAAACGAAACGAAGAAATTTTGATCTCGACCATAAATATACGGGGGGAAACAAGATTGAAATAGATATGATCCCAATGTAGAGGGTGATGAATTACCTGATTTAGGGATTGCGACTGTGGGCCGTGGAGAATGGGGAGATCGGAACGAGGTCGTATCGGGATAGTGACGAGAATGGAGACGAGCGAGACAGTTTAACTTTAACGGGAGGAGACGACGTCGTACGGCACAATCAACCAACAACACACGGGAGAAGTAGAGGGCAGAGACTTTGTCCGACCCCGACGTCGACGTAGTGGACACCGCACCCAGAATTATTACAAGTCTTTAGGTTGCTGTGTGTCCTACACGGTGTCTTTATTGTCGTGGTACCAAAGTCTTATCCTTTCTTTACGTTGCCAATCGTATTCAATACGTTAATTTAACAAATTTATCGTTCAACAGAAAAAAAAATAAAAAATAAAAAATTTTCACTTAATTACACCTTCAATTAATAAGACTTAAATAATTATTAGTTATTTAGTAAAATGATAAATAAAACTTTGCATTTTTTATAATTTGAAAATGTATTTGGCCCTTTAGTTCGAGATAATTTTATGGGGATGAAAACTTAGAAAAGGTAGCTGGTATCAAAGAAAACGATTAATCAATTTGTGTTTGGTTGTAATATTTTTGTAATAGTCCCTTTCCGTTGATGATTCCTCAAATAAGCTAGAGGGACCCAATCTATAGTAAATTTTGACGGTCCAATCGTTGAATTTTCATCTCTTAATTCAACGATCATTTTCGAAAAAAAAACATCAAAACCGAAAATCATGTAACCACTTAATTAGAGAGCAGTCATTTTAGTTACAAAAAATTATGTTCGTCTATTTTTTTCATTAAATTAAGACAAGTCGTCTTAAATGAAATTCGATTTTGATAAACTTTTTTAGGATGATATGTATAAATAAGAGATGAAAATTCGATTGTCGGATTGGTGTCCCTCAATGGAGAGGACCGATGGTGCTGTTGTGGTGACGATGGTGGTTCCAATTGCGGTGGTTGAGGGTGGTGACGACGATAGCGATTGGGGGATGGTGGCGATAGTGGGCTGACATCATGCCCGTGATGTCAACAGTTAAAAAAGGATCAATGAATGGCGGTGTAAGAGTAATGATGGTAATCCATGTTTTTATTTTCACAATTTTCAATTTGGTTAGGTAAGTGATTTTCACGCTCGCGTACTCCCCCAGCATAGTGTTCTCCATTCTTGGCCCTTTGGTTCGAATAAAAATCAAATGACATGAATTAATAAGCGTGTGTCGAAATTGTGAAGAGGTGTGTGAAATATTTTCTTCTGCAACTCACAATGTCGGGTTTGTTTGCATCTTGATAACTAGGCCAACAGAGGGCAAACTCGAAAAGGAAGCGCAGAATTCAATTTGCAGAAGATTTGTTCTTAATGGAAGATGGAAAATACATGAATTATTGAAACTACAACACACGCATTACTGCGTAAGCAACCCAAAGAATCATCTTACACAAGAAACGCCTGATCTATATAAAGGGCAGGCGTCAGAGGAATGAATTTCCCGTGAATGCAAATTTATTTCATTTCACACTGTCGATTATCAGGCTTTCAGAGACTCCCCCACTTTAACAAGGTCCTCTAGTGCCTTCGAAATCTGTGGCTCTGTTAAACCTTCCAATCGAACGCCCCTCTCAACACCCATGTCTGTTAAATAATCAAACGTTAAGTTTGCGGAGCAATATGGCGCAAAATTCCAGTTAACAGAACACGACTAAAGAACCAATAAAGGAACGTACATAGGTTGAATAAAAGTACATTAAGAATGAGCAATATAACGAGAATGACTTAGATGGAACAGGTTCACCGCCATGTGGCGTCTCAATCCAATAACACATTGCCATGTGGAGAAAAACTTGCACATGATATTGCATTATTGGACGAGGGAAGCCAAATGGCAGCGAACCCATTCCATCTAAGTCCTCCCATATCAGACCATGACACAGTGCGGCAGAAAGTGCGTCATTAAGTACAGGCACCTTATTGTGAAGGGAGAGAGTTGTTTACCATTCGTCAAGTAGTCATATCCAAACCCACTTTGCTGTTAATCCCCACCCAAAATGACAACTAGATAGGTAAAGCTGTTATCCAATAGGGTGAAAGCAGGCAGACTCGAGTCCCTACACCTTTAAGGTTGCTTATTGCAAAATTTCTCCATACTTGAAATACAATTCTAACATGACCTATTCAAATTAGTCTATGCATGTCCATAACATGTGCGTTATTGGTAAAATAGAAAGCAAAGCCAAGCCTTGGGATTTCTAAAGGATTCCGTACAGAAGAAATGAAAAAAAAAGGAAATTAATAAAAGGTTTAGCTCCAACTTTAAAAAATCCTATGAACCAACTGGTGGAGGCTAGCTAGAACCATTATTGTTCGGCCACCTGAAAAAGACATGTTCTATTGCTAGCAATCATGCTCTTCTAAGTGCCGGAACCTAAATTCTTCTTCTTCCGACCTCTCGTGGCATCTTCAACTTAAACAAAATACATAAATTTGGTGACACATGTCATAACAGTAACTGAAACTCAGCACATTAGAGTAACAGGGGCGACATCTATCTTTTTCATACATCTAATATTGTTTGACTAAACCTAACATCCTGAAACTTTAGTTCAGGAATTAACTTATTTTCAATAGTTATCAATAATCAAATAACTAGAATTTTCTAAGGCTTTAAATACACATTTTTGTTCATACATATGATGGAGGTGAAGAAAACAAGCACATGGCCGGTAAATATTCAAACTTTTTATTCAATCACTTGTAATTAGTTCACAGGACAAAGGAAAAATAAAACCTCATTTTCCACACTGAACCAAAGAAAAAACATGGTAAATAGTTTTAACCAATAAATTATAAAATGTTCAATGCACTTGCCCAAGATACTGCTGCACCCCTTTTTCCGTTACTTAGCAGTTTTCACATGCATCTTGAAGTGAAACACAGTTCTAGTTATAATAAAAGGGTATTATTGCAAGTCTGGACTACAAACATATGAAGTGTTCCGACAATTAGAAATCTCAAGTTCCTCTAGTTGATCAGCTCCCACTAAAACTAAAACAATTTTTTTTTTTTTTGAAATTATCAGCCAACGATGGTTGGTTGAGTTAGTAAGGATTGTTCTTTGCATACCAAGGCCTAGGTCCGGCCCTGCTGCCTGCAATCCCTCTTGGTGGGCTATCTGTAAAAACCAAAAAAGAGGCTACAAGTCTAAGACCCCTCTGTAAGTTCTCAAAGAGTCTCAAAGAGGCTTGTGGTATGCCCTGAGGGGATGGAGTTGCCTCCCCTCCTCCTAAACTTTTTTTCACCAAAAAAAACTATCATCCCCTCTCAAACATTTTCTCCTTACTAACTCAGATCTATTTTCTCTCTTCCCACTATTCTCTTATTTCCCCTTCTCTATATTTGCTTAAAAACTAAAAATGTTATTGAAAAAGGCCCTAAAATGAGCAGACTCCATCATTTGAAAGATGCATATACTTGTGCGCCTGCGTGCTTATTAGAAATCATCTTATGAATTATTAAAAGACTGGAATCCAAGTAGCAACCAAACAGACGGCAGTCATATGTTGGATTCCATAATTATTCATAAATCACAAGGCAATGCAGTGAGAGCTAATATCTACCTTAACCCAATGACGATACACAGTTTATTTATTTATTTGTTTGTTGAAAACGACACACAATATTTACTTGAATTTAAGCATTTCGAATTCTAAAAATCACTGAAAAATGTAAAAATAAAAATAAAAATTCATAGAAAAAAAAAAAGGAAGGGTGGGATGGGAATACCATATCTAGCCCACAACTGAGGTTCAATCCCTCTGCATTCCCGAATCAAGATGGGCAATTTGGGGTTTGCACTCTTCAGATCCTTGTAATTCTTCTCCACAAATGTTCTGCAATATCAAACAAAGATTTACCATTTCTGTAAAAAATAAATAATTTAAAATAATAAAAGAGAAGAAGTGATTGAATGGACCTGGTGGATGCGCTTGAAGGGGACGATTGGCAGAGCAAAACCCTAATCTCCTTCAAGTTCTGAGATAGCTTCCCTCTCCATGCCATTTTCTCTCTCTACCCCCTCACTCTCTAACTCGCAAGCTCGAGGATGAATAAGTTCTGCCAAGGTCTCTTAATCGCTTGGTGACTCTCGGGTCCAACGACTTGTCGTGTGATTTAACGACATGTCGTTTCATCTGTTTGAAAGATTGAAATTTAGATGGGGGCATTTAGCAAAAGATAAAGTTGGAAGTGGGCAAAACTCAAATAAAAAAAATCTGGAGAGCTGAGAGTGAGAGGAGCCCGCAGAAAAAAAGGGAGTGCGAGTGAGAGACAAGGTTGTGGAGGACGGGAGAGAGAGAGAGAGAGATTTACAAGTTCACTATCTCCCTGTTAGAGAGAGGGTTGGTGGTGCCGGCGGCTGTCGGGGCGGCGTGGGGCTGAGGAAGGGGAGAAGAGGTGGTAGGGTAGAAAGAGCAAGTAGAGGAGGGGGTAGAGATGTCAGACCTAGACCGGCAAATAGAGCAGCTGAAGAAGTGCGAGCCTCTCAAAGAGTCGGAGGTGAAGGCTCTCTGCCTCAAAGCCATGGAAATCCTCGTCGAAGAGAGCAACGTTCAGAGAGTCGATGCTCCTGTCACTGTACTCTCTCTCTCTCTCTCTCTCTATATATATATATGTATGTATGAAATTGCGAGCTCAGTGGATTTTTCGGTTAGTCAACGAAGTAGTACTATGATAATTATTTGGGGATTTATTGATTTGTTTGGGATGGATTTGATTTGGCAATGTTTTTCGACGTTTAATTGGAGACAAGTGGGTTTGTCTTTGATTTTTCAATTTTTATGCAATTGCAACCCGAATTTATGAAGAAAAAACGGTAAAATAGTGTTGGATTCTAGGATATAGCTAAGGGTTTTAGAATGATATTTCAATTGGGTTTTCCTATTTTTACTTGGATAATCAAATGGTTGAAAGAAATGCGTGTAGGGTTTAGAATTTGGAGCGATATATAGCATTAACAGTAGTTACCATTTACTTTGTTGACGAGCGGCCTATATTTTCGCTATAATTTGTGCTTATTACGAAGTATTTAAATCCTGAATGTTGCGGGCTTTATGCTGATTAATTATTATTGTTCTCTATGTTTTGATGAATAGATATGCGGCGACATCCATGGGCAATTCTATGACATGAAAGAGCTTTTCAAAGTAGGAGGTGATTGCCCGAAGACTAACTACTTGTTTCTTGGAGATTTTGTTGACAGAGGATTCTATTCCGTTGAGACATTTCTACTCCTACTTGCCCTTAAGGTGACATGCTTATATTCTTCTCTACTTTTCCTGATTTCTTTGGCATTTGAAGATACTCGGCTTGCTATTTATATCATTAAAGGCGATTGATGTTTTTATGTACATTTGAAGAGTTTGTCATATTCTTCAAAAGTTTCTAGTACATTGTTGTTTATATTGCTTCAAAAGATAACCCTATTTTAAAATTTTAGGATCTGTTTGATTTCAGTAGATTGTGTTTGTGTATAGTACACCAAACTCCATGTCATAGATCTCCTGCACTGTAAACCACACAGTGATGCAGTAGTGCAAGAATCGGAAAATAAAATGATGGAATCAAAGTAGCTAAATAAGTGAAACTGTCGATGTGAAGGCTACTTTCAAGTATTACAAGGATTCTTGATTTGGGTCAAGTTTTTAAGAGTATTGGTTTTGGTCTTAAGAGCACGCAATGTCTTTAAGTTGCTAATGAAAAGTTTAAAATTTGTTTAGTACTTGATATTTAGTATTATGTTTTCCATTTTCATGCCACTATTGCTTCTTATAGATGATAGAACTTCTTCCAAATGATACAACTGCATTAAAGACTTATCATAGTTCACTCACAAGTCTTTGGTTGTTGAACTCTCGTAAAGCTTTTTGTAAACTGATTTTGGATTGAAGGGTACATAACACAAATATTGATTCATGATGGTTGAGGAAAGGAAGTGGAACATTACATCTCTCTTTAAAAAAAAAAAAAAAAACTTCTTTTTACTAGAACTGTAAGCTAGTACAGATAAGGTTACTGCTACGAATTTCCTACCTGAATTAGTAGAAGAATAGCTAATGGATAGGGATACATTTTCATAGTGATGCTAGATAGCCTAGATTTTGACAATATCTACAGATTGTGCATCTATTCTTGCTGTTCATCTAAGTGTTTCATGGTTTATTCATTACTTTATTTCATTCTTTTTTTACTATTTTAACACAAAATAATTATTTCAGGTTAGATATCCAGATCGGATAACTCTTATTAGAGGAAACCACGAGAGCCGTCAGATCACACAGGTTAAGTCTCTTCTACTGGTGCCTACTGTTTAGTGCTTACCCATTCAGAATATTTACTGAGTTATCCTTTCTAGACAGGTGTATGGATTCTACGATGAATGTCTACGAAAGTATGGATCTGTCAATGTTTGGAGATATTGCACGGATATATTCGATTATCTGAGGTTTTCCCTTTTCTATCACATAAGTTTTTTCTGTTGAAGGATATGACAGATTATTTTTTTCGTATTGGAAATCTAGTTTCATAGTGGGTTATGACAGTTTATTTTCTTTTGAAAGAGATCATAGGATATTATGATCTGTTAATTAAACCCTGTATTAGTTATCAAATTACCATTCCTTTCTTTTGGAAAGGATCCCCTTGGCCTTAGTTGAGGTAGCAGGTGGTGGGGCAGGATTGTAATAGATCTTGGGATTCAAATGTATGTATAGAAAAGGAGAAAAAGTTATTAAAATTCATTCTAAATTTCATCCAAATTGGATGTTGAGATCATTATAACCGGATGTTGCCATTATTTGTTGCTTGAAACAGTTACTGTCGTTACACTATTTTAACAAAATTCCCATATCAAAAACTTGTTAGAATTGTCTTAATTTAATGCGTTAATTTTCTCAAATTCTTTCCAGCTGTTAGATTGCCATATTTCTCAGTGTCTTTTCTTTTTAGCACTTAATCCACCGTTCCACATTCAACTCAGTAGGTGTCCTGTTTTATAAGTTTATCTATGCATCCTTTGTTTAGAAGCAAGTACTACATCGTCAAAGTAAACTCTTTGTTTACCCTGTTACACACCATTAGTCAGTTTAATTTAGTCTTCATTTAAACTGCTTCCAATAGAGACCGAGACTTGGGCATACTATATTGTTTCTCCTTACAGATTTTGAATTTTTATGGTGGTTTAATGTAGTCTGTCAGCTCTCATCGAAAATAAGATTTTCAGTGTACATGGTGGTCTGTCTCCTGCCATTACAACCCTGGACCAGGTTCGAGAATCCTTTTTGAGTTTGAGTTGTTACTATGTTTTCTTTAGTTTTTAGTCCCTCTTTGTATGCTAACCGACCAACATGTTCTGTTGGCAGATACGAACAATTGATAGGAAGCAAGAAGTACCTCATGATGGTGGCATGTGTGACCTACTTTGGTCAGATCCTGAAGATATCGTGGACGGTTGGGGTTTGAGTCCGCGTGGTGCTGGTTTCCTCTTTGGTGGCAGTGTTGTTACCTCATTTAACCATCACAAACAACATTGACTATATATGCCGTGCCCATCAGTTGGTAATGGAAGGGTATAAATGGATGTTCAATAACCAGATAGTAACTGTCTGGTCAGCACCAAATTACTGTTACAGGTAAGTTAGGAATCTGCAACCAACCTTTCCCCCTTTTTTCCGGAGTTTGAAGGTTTATACTGAGTTTTCAACGATGGTTTGTTGCAGATGTGGTAATGTAGCTGCAATTCTTGAGCTGGATGAAAATCTTAATAAGCAGTTTCGTGTCTTTGATGCTGCTCCACAGGTGTGTACAAAAATTTGATTTTTCTTGAAAATGGGAAACTTTCTTTATTTTGAGCAGCACCGTGAAACTTTGTTCGTGTTGTCCACTTGTAATTGGTGTTATGTGGGATCATGCAGCCAGTGAAAAAAAAAAAAAAAAAAGATGCACTGGTTGTTCGAAGGATTCTACTCAACATGATTGTGAATAAAATCTGGAAAGAGTTGAAATGCAGTCTCTGAATTGGATTATATTGAAATAATTAGTATGATTTGGTACTACATTTGCAATTTGTAAATGTACGAAAGAATGACACTCAATTCAGTGGCATGGACCGTGAGTGTATCCGCTGTCTTTGTTTTTTTTTTTTTTTTTTTTTCCTGTTGTCCCACTTCTCTTATATTTTACGCTAAAAGATGGTGATAAAATGCAGGAGTCAAGAGGCACGCCTGCCAAGAAACCTGCACCAGACTACTTTCTCTGAGGTTGGTTAAGACTGCCTGTCATTATCCAGGAGCCTAATTCGTGAACAGCCTATACAGACAAGGTGGATGGAGGATCTCTCACATGATATACAGAATTTGGGGTGAGCGTTTGTGTTTGAGTCCTCCAACGACTGGAGAAAGCTGTACTTTTCTGTTCGTCGCTGGTTTGGATTGTGGGGTTTGCTTTTCTTGTATGCCTGCTGCTTCTACCATATCTCATTTAGTACATGTCAGAGTAGTGTGCATTGGCTAGCCTGTTATATGAATTATAGTTTCGTTTTCCTTGTGATTGTCGGAACAGGGAGAAACACACGGTCTCCGAAACGGACACTATTGCTTCCTTTGGAACCTGAATAGAAGGATTTGATTGAATTAGGGACAAATGGTAAACAATTATTTTTGTCCTTGTGGGCAATAAAGCTCTTTACGATTATCTGGTTGTTCTTTTAACTTGAGAATGATGTTTTAAGCTACACCAATTTCAACTGTTACGATGGCGATAAGCATCTTAAATCACCCGCTATTGCTACGGAGAGTGCATATTGATAAAAAGATACGAAATGAAGTTGTAGCGATGGATAGATAAGGTGAACTCATCCGGTTTTGTTCTTGAGTGGAGCATGGACACGAGATAGATGATTAGGTGTATGGTGAACATATGCATACTTATGGTGAGAGCAAGAATGCGCCCATTGTTGTACCCATGACCTGCAATAATCGCATTCCAAGTAGTAAAAACCCCCTCAACGAACACATCTCTACTTACCATCTTATCGAACACGCGACAAGCTCCAAAATGGTTGTAGTCAAAGCCCCTTCCGAGTCGTCGACATTGTCGGATTTTTGACACAAACATAGATACCCCTCTTTTTAAGAGAATCAAGAGCCAGAATTATGAAGAAGTTTACATGAAAAATGGAAAAAGTGTGCACATAACTTCGGTTTTGAAGTGGATGCGGACTGGGTTCTATTAATTTAGTTACCAAATTAGTAATCAGAACAACTTATTTGCAGTGGGTTTAACGGAATTGTGGTGGCCCGTCCAATAAATGGTGATATGTTATTAGCACTGTTTTTAGTGGTTGAAAACTAGGAAAGTGCGCCTAGACCGTTTAGGCATCTATCTAGCCTGCTTAAGTGTCTGTTTAGATCTGACTTTCATTTAGACAAAAAATTTATAACTTTTGTTTTGCATTTTATTTTGTTAATAAAATATAAAAGACTTATTAAATACTTGTACGAATACTCATTATATATTTATTCTTCATGTTTTCAATATGTTATAATCTACATGACATTTTATTTTACAATTGATATATCACAATACAATTATATACTTATTTTTAAATATAAATAAGCACTTAAGCACTTATTTATATATAATAAATTACTTTGCCTAATTTGTCTAGGCTCTGTTTAACCGCCCAGGCCCTAAATCCTAACCCGGCACCTGGATAGCTCCTAGGTTTTTATTGTGCAACTCCTCCGGAAGTCCAGCCACAAGTGCAAACTACCCATCACATAATGAAGAAAACTCCAAAACGTCAACCAACTAACTTGTTCCACCCAAACTCTACAATTCCCACCTGTTGCTCTCTCATTCTCTCCACTGATTCATCACCATTGACGACCCAGTCAAAATTCAAATTTTCCTCAGTAACCCAAAATTCCATTTTCCCCATCCACTCCTTGAGCAACTTGATTTTTGTATTTCCATTACCCTCTGCCGAAATCTAACCAGTTTTTTCAACTATGTTTATGGGTTTCTTCTGAAAATTTCTTGCCTTTCACTCTAAATTTTCCGTGGCGCATGCTGCAGTAGCTTAATTTAGCCATTATCTGAGATGGGTTCCTTCCCAAAGTCAATGAAATCTGCAATTTTCTTCATAATTTCATCACTTTTTCTGGTTTCTGCAACTACCCAAGAAGAAGGATTCATATCCTGTGGTCGTATCCAGAAAGGGTCTTGAGTTCACCAAGGACTTGCTGATAGAACAGGCTGTTTCCTCCATAATCCCCCTTCAGCTGCCCGAAATCGAAAAGTCTATCAAAATCCCACTTGTTGGCAAAGTTGATATTGTTCTGTCGAATATCTTAATTTACAATGTGGAAATTGGCTCTTCATATGTGGAGACTGGTGACTCTGGTATTGCTTTAATTGCTTCAGGAGCCACTGCAAATTTGAGCATGGATTGGCAGTATACTTATAGCACTTGGTTATTTGATATTTCAGATAGTGGGGATGCCTCCATTCAGGTACACCGACCAACTCAGAAATGCTATCTTACTTTTCTCTTGCTTTAATTGCATTGAATTATGAACCAAGGCGTAGGAGGATTATGGTAGATTGTACTTCTGTGATAATTGGTTGTCATAAATTTGTAGTTTCAATTCTACTTGAGATTGAATTTATGCACCTCCCCTTGGCGTCTCGCCTTGGGTAGCCACCCACTGCATTTTCATTGCCTCTTGAGGACAGTGAGAAGTGACCAGCTTGGAGTTGAATGTGCAGTCTTGTTTACTGTTATCATTAATATCTGGCTTAAATGGGTTTAAGTCTATGGAGTATGTTTCCAAGTCAAACCGAAAAACTTCCAAATAAGGAGGAAGTCTCCGGTTGGTTACTTTTGTGCAGGCCCTAAGGTATATCTAATTGTCATTAGGAGAAGCTCAACAGAACTATTAAGTAGAAACTGATATTATCGCACAATTTTACAAGATGTAACAGTGAACTGTTAGAAATTAATGGTACGGAAAATGGTTCCGTGGTCAGTTGCTGTAATAAATTGTAGTTTATCATGCATTATGTGCATTCGAAGATCACTGAGTGAAGAGAGATTTTCGTTGAGGTCAAAATTTTGATAGGAACAAGGTAGAGGAGTGGAACCAATTAAACTAAGAACATGTTCATAGAAATCTTATTCTGAAGCCTCTCTCCCCTCCATTTGTTTGATTCTTATAAAGTGCTGTTGCTTCTGAAAAAGGTTGAAGGTATGGAAGTGGGTGTTACCTTAGCTTTGAAGGACCAAGAAGGAACTCTTAAGCTGTCTGTTTTGGAATGCGGTTGCTATGTGAAAGATATCGCCATTAAGTTACATGGTGGAGCATCTTGGCTTTACCAAGGGTATGCAATCCTCTTAATTAACTTTGTTTTGATAAAGAGTTATGTGCCTCTTTTGTTTCGGTTAAAGGTCATTTCAGCCTCTGAACCTGTATTAATTAAGACTACATAAGGTCCACCCATAAGGTTTGTGATCTTTTCTCCGATACCAATGTATTGTAGTTGATCCTCTTACCTTTGGTTTTCAGATTAGTGGATGCCTTTAAAGGCCAAATAATTTCTGCAGTTGAAGATAATATTTCCAATAAAGTCAGAGAAGGAATAGTGAAGCTTGACAGTTTACTACAATCGCTTCCAAAACAAATTGCACTGGATGATATTGCAGCTTTGAATGTTACATTTGTGGGCAATCCTGTGTTGAGTAATTCTTCTGTTGAATTTCAGATAAATGGTCTTTTCACGGCTCTTGATGATAATTCTGCTTCCAGTTTATACAATAAAGGTTCACTAGATCCTGTTCCCTGCAATGCTCCAGCTAAGATGGTTGAGATATCATTACATGAAAATGTCTTTAGCTCAGTGTCCTTAGTTTTCTACAACGTAAGATTTTGCTTTTCCGCTCCATTCTTAACAATGATCTTTGTTTCTTTCTTCACTTTATACTTCCTCCTCCACTAAGGTTGTCTTAAGTTATTAACTTCTCACACCATATCTTACTTGAGCATTCAAAAACTGACCTCTGCCTTGCCTGATTTGCACCCTTGTGTTGTTATACATCTATATTACAGAGACCAAATTGCATAGTTAAATTAACATATTATTTTTGTCTCCCCTTGTCTTGTTCAGGCAAATTATATGCAACGGACAATCAACAAGATACCAGATCAGTCCCTTCTGAACACTGCTCAGTGGAAACACATTGTTCCTCAACTGTACAAGCAGTACCCAGATAAAGATATGGAACTTAATATTTCTGTATCTTCTCCACCAATAATAAGAGTTGCGAACAATGGCGTTGATTTCACTGTTTACTCTGATGTGACAATTGGTGTCGTGGATGATGATGAAGTAATATCAGTTGCTTGCATATCATTGGTATGCTTCATCGGAATATGTGTCCTCATTAGTTTTATGCACAATTATTCCCTCGTCTGTTATGATTTTCCAAATGCCTTTTGGTGGTGCAGGAGATTCATGCTTCATGTTCTCCAAAGATCTCGATGAACAAACTAGCTGGCATTGTTAAATTGAATGATATTACAGCTTCCTTGAAGTGGAGTGAAATTGGTAACCTACACATGCGGCTCGTTCAGGTAATTTCCTTTATGAACTGATTTTAATCATTGTTTTAAGCTTCTAATGTATTTTAAAGAGCACATCATCTGGTTGTAGCCTTGTAGGCCAACAGAATCAGCATCACGTAGAATTGTAAAAGTGGTTTGGTAACAGAGTTCAGTAAGCCGATCATATTTGGAATATAAACATTTTCTCTTACATCAAGTAGGACAGACAGTACAGGGTCCTAGTGAATTTTGGACCTCTTGGTCTTAATTGCTCATTAATGAGCCCCAATTGTGAGTACTCATGAACCCGTATCAAATTGTAAGCCAAAAAATTAGTGATACCCTCTGCCGAATGTTTACCTTTTATTTTTGGGAGTTTTAACGAAAAGCCTGTGGTACTGTTCATTTTAACGAAAAACCACATTTTTACACTAAAAAGTCAAATCTGGTACTATTCACTTTACCCTTTATTTTGTCCTTATCATTAAAACTCAAAGTTTTCAAGCCCTTTTCATTAGTTTTCCTTTTATTTTTGGGGTGATAATTTCTAAGGTGAATGTTAGTACGAAGTCTACGGACTAGAAGAATATTTTAAAATGCATTTTGTCAGATTTGTCTATGACGATGTGGCTTATTAACTCTCATAGGGAAAACTTGACTCATCTTTTCCTGCTACATTCTGCTTTTACAAATATAAAGTAGTTGCTTCATTGATATTAATATGACCAAGATGTTTAAATTGCAGGCCATATTGTCAACAATCCTCAAAACTGTTGTTGTGCCGTATTTGAATTTATACCTTTGGAAAGGACTACCTTTACCACTTCCTCGTGGCTTTACACTCAAGAATTCTGAGATCCTCTCCACCAATTCAAGACTTAGAATATTGAGCGATGTTGAGTTTGTAGAAGGATAACCGACATCAGTCAGCAGACCATTAGTTTCAAGCAGATAGTTTGTATACTAGTATGTGTTTGTTTGTCTCTGTAAATCACTGTACACTAGTAGCGCAATGCAAAATCAAAAGCTAAGCGAAGGTTAAATCATTGGTTGTTTTTGATTCTTCACGAGATTAGTTTATTTTCATCTGTTTTGATGTTCAGGATTTCAGGAGCAAGGGCAAGATGTAATGTTAATGACAGTTATGAGGTTGATTGGCTTTAGGATGGCTGGTCAGGATTGCACAGCACAATATTGGAGTCTGACTCCACAATGATAGGAAACTAAACTTTACAAGCCACACTTTCTGCTTGTAGAACTTGACCAATTCCTACCAAATCTCCATAGTTGTCTCCAACAAACCCACCTGTTGCAATGCGGCCTTCGTCACGCGAAAACCACTCCTATCTTGTCATACGCTGCGTGAGACAAAGACAACCGGTGTATTAAATCGTTTTTACCAAGTTTTTCTCCGTCATCGCCCTTTCTACAACAGAACTAATGTTGCATTCAATTCCGTACATATTCAAAAGCTTTCTTAGGGTTTGGAGTATAAGTAGCAACCAAGCATAAACCAGTTTTCTTTTTGTGAAGAGATCGATGAACGTGAGGCACGTGAAGGTGGAGTACCAGCTTACGGAAAGCCCTAATGTCCTTCCCTCAGATATCATAGTCAACATTCTCTCAAGGCTAGCGGTGAAGTCCTTATGCCGGTTTAAGTGCGTGTCAAAGCCGTGGCGTTCTCTTATCTCCGACCATGATTTTGTTAAAGTACACTTCAACAAAGCCTTTGAGTATAAAGATGTGATGCATCAAAGACGAAGGCTCGTATTTACTGGTGTTGAAAATCGATCCCTCTACTTTTCGTACCTTGACGAGTTTATCAATCGGGATGTATATCTTAACAATCGCGTCAAAAACGTTGGTGATAATGGTTTAGTGACGGCTACTGAGCTCGCCTTTGTTTACAGCATAGAGCGAGATATTTTGGTTTCGTTAATTTGTTACTGCAATGGCTTGTTGTTGTGCCAGTTACATGAAAGCAAGGAGTTACATTTGGTTAACCCCGCAACCAGGGAACTCAAGATACTACCAAGGACACCAAAACCATATCGCTATTCGAGCCTCTGTGGGTTCGGATATGATCACTCCACTGATGAACACAAGGTGGTCTGCGGGCGGATCAACATTAATCACGGAATCGAGTTTTGTGTCTATACATTAGAAACCAATTCGTGGCGGGTGATTCGCGACAACTTCAATTGTTTTGAATGTACTAAAGTACGCGGGATCCATCTGAATGGCGAACTTCATTGGTTGATGAATAAAGGCGAATATGAAGCTGAGTCTTCCGTCATTGTATCTCTCGTTTTAGCAAAGGAGGAAGTTCGGGAAATTCAACTGTCTCCGGAATATTCCATCGAGAATAGCCCTCCAATCGAGCTAGGGCTATTCAGAGAATGGTTGTGCATTTCACATAATGTCGACGCCAATCATGATCAAACGTACAATGAATTTTGGGTGATGAAGGAACATGGAGTTAAGGAGTCTTGGACCAAAATGAGAGTCTCCACCCCCTATCACAAATTGTCTCATTCTGGCTTTTGGACCAAAACTCATGATTTGATGGTAATTGGCGAAAGGTTACTAATGTACAATTTTGATGACGATGAAAACTTCTGGGATCTACCAATTCGTGGAGTTGACAAAGTTGGTAGCATTTTGATCTACTTGGATAGCCTGGTTTCTCTTTCTAGAAATCAATCGAAAAGGAGTTCGAAGAAGACTTCGGTTAGTACATATAATGCTTTTATCACCATTTGTTTTCCTTCATGCATTTTTTTTATCAACATGGATTAATTTGCTGCATTCTCTTAGTTTGATCCTAAATCAGTACTTAAAACTCACCTCTCACACCTACATGCACTGCTATATATTGTTGACCCTAAAAATTACAAAGCCTACATGGCGCGCAGACTGAGTAATTAATAAGCTAACTATGTTCTTCGGTTGAATGCGGGGGGTGCCAACTCGTCGGCCGAGCTCGGCCGAGGAGTAAAATTTGTTGATGTTGCATTGAGCGCGTTGCTGACTTCTTTATCTTGCGACTACGGCCGAGGAAGGAACAAACCTCGGCCTTTGGATTCTCGAGCTTGAAGATAAGGCTGCTAGTTCTGCGAAGTTCACAAATCGTCGACGACGGATTCAGTCGCAGTGATTATATTCGTGAGAGTATAAGCACGTCGAATCGACACTAGACTGTATGGACATAAGTATTCAAAGGTGATGTATGTCTTGATGGTGAATGTGGTTCGATCGTCAGAATGCCGAACTCTGAAACTCACTTGTGAGTATCCAATCATAAAATCACTCGGCGTTCAGTGCGCCGAATGTCGTAACTCGTAACACCTTACTTCGCCGAGAAGGCTAATAAGATGACCTCTGCCAATAAGGATTCGGAAACCTTTCTCGACCGAGACTTGGATAGATAACTAGTCGGCCTCGACGCAGTGCTGTTTATCCAAACTGAAAGTGTTCGCCGGTTGCCTTCACAGTGCTGTTTATCCAAACTGAAGATGTGTCGGCGGGAAAAAGAAAATAAAAAATCTCAAGATGTTTGAGAGGTTTTGCGCAGGGCAGTTGTGTGTTGAATTGAAGGTCCTTCTTCCATTGCACCGAGTCTTGTATTTATAGGAAAATGTTGTGTGGCGCGGCCAAATAATTTTGTAGAGTCCCACTGCAATCCTAATTTGCAGAGCTGAAGCATATCCTTCAAATTGATCCGTGGGATTTGATCCTTGACTTTTCAAACTCGTCAGTTAGATAAGCAACGGCCTATCTAGGTTTTTACCATACCACATCAGAAACCTAGCCCACCTAGGCTTCTTCTGATCTCATTAAAAACCTTCAGCAGAAACTCTTACTTCCATCACCATGCAAAAACAAGAAAAGCCTAGCCTACCTAGGTTTCCTAGGTCATCATTACACCACCACCAAAACCTAGCTTTTCTAGGCTTGTCTCATCATCACCCAAAGCAATCATCTTTAATATCATATTGCAGCATATCCAATCCCAATATAAACTGTACCACTTGCTCCGGGATATAATTCGCACCCTATTTACCTGGTTGAAGAAGATGCTAGGATAATTCATATTAAAAGATAATTATTATGATAAAAACCATAATATTATCCTTTAATAATGACAAAAATTATCTCTACTTTTTCATCCGACGATTGAGAGCTATGCTCACTCAACGGCCTTGATTGCACGGGCCGATGGTGAATATTTGGATCCAAACATATATATAGCTTTGTAAAAATAATTTTCTTGTTGCCATTTAGTACTACGGTCTGGTGGTATTATTCTTCACTTGGAAGTGAGAGGTTTTAGGTTTAAATCTCGTGGATGAAAAATTCGATACCAAATTAGGTTGCCCATTGTATGGCTTAGCCGAACTCTCTCTCCCCTTAGTGTAAAAATATCAATGTACAAAAAAAAAAAAAAAAAAATCTTGTTCACTAATCACTATTGTTGTTAACAAAAGAAAATTGTTATACCACATCGTTCATTGACCGGTTCTCCAATTGAGGTGAAGCATACATGGGTATGTAGGATCCACTTGTACTAAAGAAGTAATCATCAATGTGATCCGAACATATCACGAGTGCTAATTTTCGTATTGAATATCTTTCTTGCAAAGCTATATACAATTTTTCATGATGTATTTTCCTTCTGCCTATATATAACTCATGGTTGATAATTATCAATATATAGGAGGCATCAAATCTTCTTTTAACTTGTTAGACATAGCTTCTGGATTTCAAGCAATAGATACAGGTCATTGATTTCAATGTTTAGTCTCAAGAGGATGCCACCCTCATGCATGCATGCATGAATGATCGTATTTTAAACAATTATTGATTGATTTACAGTTTAAGCTAATAGTCTGTATCTGGTTTGTTATTGTCATTTAGGCAACGTGGAAACGGAGAGTGAAATAAAGCCGAGCAAGCTGAAACAAATGAGGTTCAACCATGAGTTGCGCTTTCATCGTCTTAGTGTGAATTATTTCAGCATTTTCGATCTATAGCTAAAATCTTGTGGCCACCATATATATATATGGTTCATTTTTTATTCTGTATGCATGAATGTATTTATTAGCCAATTGAAAGAGTAAGGATATTGTTATAATAGAAGGCCAGTTTTGGTATTTGAGGTGTGCTATATTTGTTTTATCAAACATGCATGGAGCATCGATTCTAACCTGTCATCTCCTCCAACGAAGAAATATTGAGGCGTGTCACGAAGAAACTACAAGAACCGAATGCATGAATTGCAGTGTTTAGGGCATATATACATGTTTACGTATATTGATACAGGCATGAGCTTTTCCTTATCATCATCCAAAATACAAGAAAGAGAACTAGGTGCAGTCTCCAAAATATTTAAGCCCAGATCGAAAGAACAAGCCATGTTTGCCAAATAATCCGCAGCAAAGTTCAGTTCTCTGTTGATGTGCTTGATGTTGCAATCCCACTGTCTAAAAAGAAACCTCCTGTACCCATCAATAAGATTAAAACAATGGATGAAACTTTTCAAGCATTGAAGACACCATAACAACCGTAGTCATGGAATCAGTGTCGACATCAATAGCATTTCCACTGATGCATTTAGTATAAATTATTTTGGATTTTGGATATTTATTCCTGCTTATGAGGGATTACGGCCTGGTTGGATCAAGTGGTTATGAATTTTTATTTCTTTCTTGGGGGAGAAGGGAGCTCAAGTCCTTGTTGCTCCAGAATTTGTTGACTTCCTTACATAATTTCATTAAGCTTTACTGGCTTAGTTGATCATGTTCTGTTGAACCTCGTTTTCTTGGAATTAATTGAAAGTTTGCTTCTTTATGATTTAACAAACCTCGTTTTCTTGGATTGAAATGTCTGTCCTTTCCTCTCACTTTCTCAGAACAGAATCGAACACACAAGCTTGGAGAAATTAGACCCTCCCAAGAAATCATTTGTAAGGCGGAATCCCATTTACACTATCAAGTCCGCCCATTACGTTTTCTTTTGAAATTAATAGACAGTTTGCTTCATAATGAAAGCTTTTGAGAGCACTTCCAGTGTAGCACAGCCCCTAGGCAATAGGCAACTCAATCCCCTTAAATGAACAATAATCGCCAATTGCATCTCCACTTCTAAATTGAATAGTCTAGGCAATTCGTATTAAAATATTAGTATTTTTTAATTTTTTTTAATAATTTTTAGTAATTTTTTAATAATTTAAATTGTGACTGACGACAGCCTTGCGTCATATAGGCAGGACACTGGATTAGGCGATTATTGCTGACTTCTCCATTGAGCTCGCCTTGAGAATATTCTAGTTCTGTTATTTTTCAAGCAATTGTGAGCTTGAATGTCATCTGCAATCCTTTGGGACCGTTAGATAACCATTTCGTTAGATTGATTAGATTCAATGCTCCTATGGTGCTTAAGATTGATTAGATTCAAGATCAAATAAAAGTAAAAGTGAATATTTTTTCAATTTAAGGGAACTAGAAGAGGTCAGATTAGGCATGAAAGAAACCTATCTCATTTTAGTCTTCTACCATTTGTCGTGATTTAAAGTGATTGATTTTCTTAATGAGTAACTCCTCTTCTACCTTCACTTTGAATTGGTTACTACAATTATCATTTACTGCAATGGGCCAAAACTTAATCAAAAGTGGATGGCTTTTGCTCTTTGGATGTGACATGTTTTTATTTTGGATGAAATGTAGGGAAATTAGTCAAAGAAGGTCCTTTTAGTTGTAGGCCTATTTGAATGAACTGTATTTAGGACTAGAGAGGGAGAGAGGCCGGCGGCAAGAGAGAGAGAATAAAGAGATTTAATTGTGAGGTGTGTGTTGTATCACCCCATTATGCATTTATTTATAGTAGTAGGATAGGTTAAATCCTTACCCTTTTAGGATTACAACTCTAATAAGATATTAACTACTAAAGAGAATATTAATCACATTCATATTCTAAATATGACTACAACACTCCCTTAAGTGTGTAAATACTCAAACAAAACATCGCATCAGATCTTTAGTAGTTAAGGTAGAACAGTTGATGAAGTCGGCGGCACAACGGGCGAATGCAAGTCTCAAATTTAAAGAAAGTATGCATTGGTAGTAAAACTCACAAAGTCTCACTATGGTAAAACCTAAGGCAGGTGAAAACCCATAGACTAAGGAGAAAAGTGAGAAGTATGCATAATGTCTAAAATAAACATCAAACAGGACGAAATAAGTGAACTCAACGAAGTATGATCATCCTAAGATGGGTGACTCATCAAAACCTCGTAAAGTAGTAAAAACCCATTGGGAAAAATGCTCCTAATCATAGGAAAAATAGTACATTAAGATCAAGTGAGTATGCTTTAGGATACTCTCCCTGAGTTAGACATAACTTCCAAATAAGAGAACTACAAGCAATTCAACTCAAATAATTTATGTATACCGATTCCTTGGAGAAGCTTATGAAAAGTAGACTTGGGCAATGACTTGGTAAAGAGATCGGCCAGGTTGTCTTGGGAAAGAATTTACTTGACTTCAATGTTCTGATGTTGTTGTTGCTGGTGAGAATAAAAGAACTTTGGCACTATGTGTTTAGTGTTGTCTTTGTTGATGTATCCCTTCTTTAACTGCTCGATACATGCTGCATTGTCTTCAAATATCGTTGTAGGAAGGTCAATGATAGGAGCATATTCATGCGACTTAAATGGCTTGTTCTCGTGCATT